GGAAGGTAAAGTAATAGTTAACATTAGACTTGGAGATTTTAATGGCCCATGTTGTAGTTTTTTAAGATAATTTTTTAAAAAATATTTTATTTATTTGTTCATGATAGACATAACAGAGAGAGAGACAGAGACACAGGCAGAGGGAGAAGGAGGCTCCATGCAGGGAGCCCGACACAGGACTTGATCCCAGGACTCCAGAATCGTGCCCTGGGCCAAAGGCAGGTGTGCTAAACAGCTAAGCCACCCAGGGATCCCCTCATGTTGTAGTTTTTAAGATAACCAATAAAAATAGGATACAATCACATATATTAGAAGAAAAAAAGGCATGATAAAAATCCAAACAAAGGCATAGAAGGAGAGGAAAAGAAACAAAGAACAGATAGTACACAGAAAAAGTATAGACAACATGGTAAAATTTAAACCCAAATGTAACAATTATGTTAAATGTAAATGGACAGAATATTACAGTTAAAAGATAAATATGTCAGGCTAGCTAAGAAAACATTCTATTGTATGCTATTTATAATAGGCCCATCTGAAGCATGAGGGCACAGAGAGGTTCAAAATTTAAAAGATGGAAAAAAGCATGTCATGCAAATACCAAAAGGAAGATGATGTAACTATATCAGGTAAAACATACTTTAGGACAAAAATTATTAGAGAAAAAAAGGGCCATTTCATAGTTTAAAAAGATTAAATTCACCAGGAAAATAGTGAATTTTAATTGTATATAAATGTATTTGACCTAAAATTATATAATGCAAAAATGGAGAAAACTACAAGAATAGACACTATGGGAGCTATTAACACGGTTCTTAGTACTGATGGAATAAACCAAAAAGCAAGGGGGAGAATATAAGATTTGAACTACATGCTTTCTAGACTTGACCTACTGAAATGTTTAGAGAAGTCCCTAAGGGATGGAGAATATGAATTCTTTTCAAATTTGACCAAATGGTTGAATGAGCTAGATCTCAAGAAATTAGAAAAATGAACAGCAAAATAAAATTTAAAAAAAAGAAGGAATTTAAAAAGACAAACCAGTTAAATAGAAAACAAATAGAGTCTCAAAAAAACTAGGTGATTCATTGAAAAGGCTAATAAATTGACAAATCTCTAGTGAAACCAGTTAAGAGAAAAAGGCACAATTCACCAGTATTAAAATCAAAAGGACTTATCACTATAATGTAAACACTAAGAGAGGATATTATGAATACTTTTAGGTCAATATTATTAAATTTTAGATGAAATAAAAAATTCCAAGAAAAATATAACTTACCCAACTTATCCATGATGTAGAGAACTTGGCTGTGAAGTAAAAACTAGTCCTATGACTGTTACAGAAACAGAATCAGTGATTTTTAAAAAATCTCCTCATGAAAAAATTATAGACCCAGTTGACTTTACTGGTGAACTCTACCAAAAATGTAAGGAGAAAGTAATTTCAATATGTAATTCTTCCAGTTAATAGATCATAGTCCCCAACTTAAAGGTTAGTGTAACTGATAACAAGGACAACTTAAAGGTTAGTGTAATTGATAACAAGGACAGTACAAAAAAGAGAATCTCAACTACAAACATAGTTGCAAAAGTCCTAGACAAAAACATTGACAAATCCAGTAATCTAAATCCAGTAATAGTTTAAAAGACAACATGATCTGTCCAAGTTGGATTTATACCAAGAATGCAAGGTTGTCTGGTATTGAAAAATTGATCAATAAAATTACCATATTAATGAACTAAAAGGGGAAAAATCATAATAATTTCTATACATGTTAAACATGTCTGATAAAATTCACCTATTCATGAAAAAGATAAATTTAGTGATCCAAGAAGAGAATTTCCTTAGCTTAATAAAGAAGGTGTCTAAAGAACAAAAAACAATAGACATTATACTTAATGGCAAAAATATTAATTTGAGGAAAATGCCTGTCACCAACATTTTTTTTAACATTGTACTAAATTAAATGTTCTAGTCAACTCCATAAGGCAAGAAAAATGTATACAAGGCACAGGCATGGAAAAGCGAGAAACATAACTTGTTTGCAGAGGATACACTTCTCTACATAGAAAATGCAAAAGAATATACAGAGATCTTATTTTATCAGTTTTAAGACACATTAAAAATTATTTTAACATCGCTGTAATTGGACTGCATCTTTCAATAAATGAAGAATCATAATTAAGTTGGAAGCCGGTCTTAGTCTGGGCTGCTATACCAAAACACCACAGACTGGGGTGGCTTATGAACAATAAACACCTATTTCTCACAGTTCTGGAAGCTGTATGTCCATGATTGTGGTACCAACGTGGGCACATTCTGGTGGAAGCCCTTTTCCCAGCTCATAACTGGCATCTTCATGCTGTGTCCTCACATGTGGAGAGGGCAAGAGGTCTCGGTGAGGTCTCTTTTATAAGAAGTCTGATCACAAATGCAAAGGCTCCTCCCTCATGACCTGAGCCCCTCCCAAAGGCCTCACTTCCTAACACCATCCTAATACTCACCTTCCTAATACCATCTCTGGGGGTTAAGATTGCAACATATGAATTTGGAGGCAGCACAAATATTCAAGCCATAGCACCTTCTTAATAGCAGACATATGGCATATCTTATAATGGTATGATACAGTATGGTATATGGATGGTGTAGTAGGCATACCAAAATACAGTAAATAGTTAGAATTTAGAGTTTAACAAGATTGATGCAGTCCATACACAAAAAACTCATATTTAAGTGTACCAACAAAAAAAAAGGCAAATGAATTTAAAGTAAGAATTGTAGATATAGTATTAAGGTTATAAAAATGTTATTTAGAGGGGCACCTGGGTGGCTCAATTAAGTGTCTGCCTTCGTTTGGGTCAGGTCATGATCCTAGGGTCCTGGGATTAAGCCCCTCATTGGGCTACCTGCTTAGCAGGGAGTCTGCTTCTCCCTTTCCTTCTACCTCTCCCCCCTGCTTGTGTGCTCTCTCTCTCTCTTAGATAAATCTTTTTAAAAAGTGTTATTTAGAGATACATATTGGAAGTATTTACAATAGGAATCAAATGTCACCAAAGCAGAATTCCTCCTTTAAAGTATTTTAAAGGAAAAATATAAAGCAAACAGAGTAAAATATTAATTACTATTAAATCTTGGTGATGGACATATGAGGGTTCAAACTATTCTCTCTGATTTCATATATATTTAGAAATAATGTTTAAAACTTTGTGAAATGACAAAATCCTTAAATGAAGAAATATATTATGCTCTTAGATTAAAAAGTCAATATTGTAAAGAGGTCTATTCTATTCCATGCATTCCCATTAAACAATTCCAAAAGGGTTTTTTTTTTAATGGAATTGATGAATTGCTTCCAAAATTTACATGCAATTTCAAAGAATCAAGAATAGCCAATATTCTCTTAAGAAAAAGAATGAGGTATGAGGACTGTTTTACCAGATACCAAAGTTAAATAGAATGAAGACTTAAGAAAAATTAGTAAAAAAAGAAGAAAAAGACAATGTAGTACTGGCACAGAGATTAACAAGTAATCCAGTGGCACAGAATAGACTGCTCAGGGGTAGCAGCTCTGGAACGGCAGGATGAGGACAGGGGTATCTCTCAGAGAGGCATCTATTCAACTAGTCAAAATCAGTAAAGGCAATTATTCAACATGTATATTGACCAAAAGACTTAAACAAACTGAGAAGCATTAATTCACCAAAACCTGAGGAATTTTGGTAAGAATAATGGAAGGTGGGAGGCTGTTGCATTGGAGAACTATGTACCTTATACCCCATTCCCTAAATCTGCCTTATTAGAAAGACCTGTTCCATTTGGGGTATAGGCGGAATTGATACATCAAATCTCACTCTTGCGCTCTCTCACACACAGTTTTGTACCCTACGACTAAAAAAATTTTTTTATTCTATATTGAACACACTTTATTTTTTTTTTAAAGGAAAGCTTTTTTTTTTTAATTTTTATTTATTTATGATAGTCACACAGAGAGAGAGAGAGAGGCAGAGACACAGGCAGAGGGAGAAGCAGGTTCCATGCACCGGGAGCCCGACGTGGGATTCGATCCCGGGTCTCCAGGATCGCGCCCTGGGCCAAAGACCGGCGCTAAACCACTGCGCCACCCAGGGATCCCTTGAACACACTTTAAAAATCAATCCTGCACTTGACCAATAGAGCAAACCTTAATCAATTTTTAAAAGTAGGTTTATTTTTTTAAAAAAAGGTTTATCTAGACCATATTCTCAGGTTATAATCCAAAAAATTAGTAGTAAACGATTTTTAAATGCCAAATAAACCCTTAACTATTAGAAAATTGGTCTCCCTTGGATGAAGTAGAAAATAAAAGCAAATTAATCTTGAAAGTAATGAGAAAGAGAATATTTTATGCTAAAATACATGGGGCACAGTTAAGGCTATAATCAGGAGAAAATAATGGAATCTAGCACTTTTAATTAAGAAATTAAGAAAAGGGGGAATCCCTGGGTGGCTCAGTGGTTTAGCGCATGCCTTCGGCTCAGGGTGTGATCCTGGAGTCTCACGTTGGGCTCCCTGCGTGGAGCCTGCTTCTCCCTCTGCCTGTGTCTCTGCCTCTCTCTGTGTGTCTCATGAATAAATAAAATCTTAAAAAAAAAAGGAATTAAGAAAACAAAATTAAAAAGAAAAAAGGTGTAAAGTTTAAGTTAATGACAAATATTTTTTAAATCAACAGGAAAAAAAAAACAAAATAGAAAGGCTATATAAATCCCATTGTAATTTGAAAGTGCCAATAAAATTGAAATACCCCTTGAGAAAAACTAATTAAAGGAAGCAAGAGCAATGGTTTGTTATTTAACGTTATGTAACTATCCCTCGGCAAGATGATGTTGGCCCTCACTTTTGCCATTTATAAAAACCCAAAACCCAAACTCAGAGGAATAACTAATAACCATGTTTTATCCAGAATAGAAAGCATGATAGAGAAGGTATTCCAATATTCTTTCATATCCAGAAAGAAACCAAATTAAAAAAAAAGACAAAATATTTAATAGGCATTTTTTTACAATTGCAGTACAAATTATCACTTCAAATAAACATCACAGGGTTTTAATTGCTAGTCAGCCAATAAATACTTTTTGTAGCTTTCTGATAAAATTATTACAAAGCAAACATTTTTAATGCATTACTTTGCTTGTACTTCTACATCTGGAGAATTCCATCGTGTCTTGAAATTCAACAACTTTTAACTTTTACAGGAATTGCTTGAGCAGATGTCCTAATTTCAGTCATTTACTGGAACAAATTTTTAAAATAGGCAAGAAGTCGGAGATTTTGTTGTTAAAGGGAATATAATTGGGGTCCTAGAGACAATGTTGAATTGTAAAGCTCTGTGCCTCAAATTCTCCAGTGAACTGTATGTCCTGTCTTACAGAATGGTAATGAAAGAAACTGCAAGGCCTGTGGGGTGGGGGTCTGGGGGCGGCACAAAGAAAAACCAAAAATAAAAAACCCACAAAATGGAATCCCCAGGATGGCAGCTGCTCATTGTCCAGAATATTTAACCAACTCTGCTGCTAACCTAGGAAACTTACTAGCTCAGTAAAGCTCTGATCAAGAAATTAAATAAGGCAATTTCAATCGGCTTTTTAAAGAGTATATTGGTGTGTGAAACTTACATATGATCACCTCAAAATCCAGCCTAGGAGTTTACTAAATATGAACATCCCCACTCAAATATTTGTTCGATTCTTTATGTTAAACTACTTTGGATTCTTATTGTGATCTGCCCTCCGAGGTCAACACAATTCTGTATTAATACTTAATGTCAGATTCTTAAGAGCTACCTGTGTGATGAGCACCTTTCTTAATTAAACTTCCATTCACTATCCCATTTGTTGGCTATTTGCATCTAGAACAAAGAAGAAACCTGAAAATTAGGCCTATTTCCAGCTTTGCAAGCAACTGTTGTGTTATACATATCTACTTTCAAATTCACTTCCTTTTTGGTGGGAAAAAGAAGTGACAGAGGAAAGAACATTTGAATTATGAAATCTCTGATTCCATTCCCAATTGAACCCTCAATAGCAATGTGAATCCTGGCAAATTATTTAACTTCTCCAAGCCATTTACCCACCTTGCATTCTTTCTTCTGCTAACTCTTCAAGAATGATGTTGTTTACTCGTGTTTGTTAGAGAGGTAAACAGGATATAAAGTCCTTACAGAAAGGATCCTCATCAGCTAAGGCCATCAACTCCATCTTTTTAAGACTGGTTGACTACATATGTTCATCCCTGTGGGTCACTAATATCTTTTTATCATTTTCAAATGAAATGTGATACACGTGGTTTTTTTGTTTTGAGTGCCAGATTTAAATAATCTGCAGTGTATCTTGACAGTGGCAATGAGAAATAATTCTGAAATCCCAGAGGTAAAAAGAGAGTGGTATCCTGCCCAGGCAGGATGATGACTGTCACCCTAACCATTAGCATTTAGTGCAGGAATTCTCTGGTCACATTACGGATAATACAGAGTCACTGCTATATGATTCTATGACACTAAAAACTAAGTACGGTATGTGGCAAACTAATATTTCACCAGTGAATTTCTTGTTGGCAAAAATATAGTATCTGCTTCAAATGGATTCTAGGCCTTACAACATTATTCTTAAAATGTAAAATCACATGGTGACGTCTTTCTAAAGGACCGACGAGGCAAGAAGTGGTGTTGCAAATGTATAGAAAAACGTATAGACAAAAAAATAAACCTAGTAAACAGATAGATAAACAAACTCAAAACTGCTGCCTTGGAATTTCCTATATACAGAGGCAGGTGATACTTTCCCTCCTGAGCCAGGTAGACCAGGCTAAATTAAATATTCTTCATAATGTAACAATGAGGACAGTATTACGTGCCAGTAAGAATTTTCACGGTTTGTGCTTATACTCGGTAGGGAATGTAAGGGGAGAAAGAAGCCACGAGGTTTCCTTTAATAGGAAAGAGCCAGTATATAAAAACTGGTTTAACTAGTACACCATGGCTCAAGTCTGCAGCATTTTATGGGGCATGCAGTAGCTAAGATGTGGTGTAGGTAGGAGTCTCTAGCCAGCTTAAGCTCCGGTTAAGCTAAGAGTATATGCTTCAGAACCAAAACAGTGTATGACACCATCTCCCACGAAACCAAGGTTACTATACATGTACATAAATACAAGGGCTCACGGGAATGTACAGTCAAGTCATTTGGTTGATCTGTTTGCTGCTTTCAACTCTGGCTTTTTTTTGTTTTTGAACCTGGTGTCACAGTAGGCCAGGTACAGCTCTTAATGGTCCCAACCATCTTTCAAGTTTACACATCAACCTTCAGGTGGATCACCAAAAAGTGATACCGAATCTGCAAAATACAAACAAAATTCTAAAAAGAACACCGCATACACACATAAATTGAAAAACCATTTAAAAATCCAACGAGAGAGAGAGAGAATTTCGTGGACATTATCAGCCAGATTCCCTTTCCCCAAATCCATACCTCGAATCTAAGCAGAGGCTTCTCATGCCCCTGCAAGGAAACGGAAATGCACAAGCCTGGAATAAAACATATGGTGGTGACTGAATGATCATCTATTGACTAAGAGACACCATGTCTGTAAACTACACAAGAGTGACAGAAGTACAAATTTTTTTTCAGTGTGCCTTTAAACAGAGGTCTCTTTCCATGGAGTGGGAGTGGGGTGAGGCCAAGGCTCGGGGCTTCTCCCCAAGAAGGCCGAGAGATGCCTGAGGGCAGAAGGCACACGTTCTGCAAGAGAGTGGCTGTCCAAGCATCCCCCTCATGTTTTTGCCAGTGGGTCAAACACCTGCAGCACGGTCCTCTTGTCCTTGTCACTGACTGCCATCCAGCCGGTGAAATCTTTCTGTCCGTGCTCCAGGGGCAGCTCCGAGGCCGGCGAGGCAGCAACTTGCAGTGGGTGCAGTGGGGCCGTGTGTGCTCTTTCCAGGCCCTGAGCCCCCGAGTCCAGTGGGTCAGAGCTCTTGGAAAGCCAGGTATTCTTCAACAGGCTAGGGTGATGGAGAAGGCTCCAGAAGGGATCTTGATAGTCACCCAGAAGGGAGGCTGCCTCTGCCTGGGTCTCCCTGGGGCCCTCAGTTTCGGGGCTCGTGGCAGAGGAAGCACTGAGGCTGGCAAGTGGCGGCACAAGTGCACTCTGGTCGGGCAGGTGTGCAGGGGGCCAGTCGCTGCTTGGGGTGCTGCAGGTGAAGGCCTGGAGGAGCTGGCTGTTGCTCTGCAGCACCTGCAGGTGGAAGGCTGCGGGTGCCGATTTCTTCCTCCTCCTCGGGGGGGCCTGGGGTGCGGGAGGCGGCACCTCCAGGGGGGGCGGCAGGGCGGCTCCTGCCATGGGAGGGGCGTCTTCTGGTGCGGGCTTCCTCTCAGCACCCTTCCCAGGCTGAAGTGTCCTCGGCTTGGGAACAGGAGGGGTTGCTAGAGGAGGGGTGTCAAGGCTGGTCTCTGGGGGCCCGATCGTGAAATGGACCGTCTGTTGCCCAAACTGTCCTTCTGGTGACTCCGGCTAGGGAAAGGCAGGACAGAGAGCCAAAGTCAATCAGAAGCTGGCACTGGGGTGGAGGAGTGGGAGTCAGCACCCAGACAGTGTCAGCAGGGTAGCAGAGATGGGTCAAAGCTGACATCCAGCAAATTCAAGAGTTGAGAATATCTGGGGTACGAGAGGGTGAGCAGGAAGGAGAGGGTGCAGGAGGGACACCCGTCTATCAAGTACCAGTAGGTCCAATGAAATAGGAGCAGAAACTTTAAAATCAGGGCCACACAGCGAATTTTCTGAAACAAGTCTTTTCTTTGTTACCTTAGGAAATGCAGTTATGCTCTCCCTTATATTAAAAGTGAACCTCTGAAAACCATCTTCTCGGAGGCCACAGCTTGGAAAATACAGTGTGTACCATGCCGGGAGGGGGGAACATATGTTGTTGGGGCATGAAGCTAATTGAACCCCTGATGGGTCAGCGTGCTCCTTAAATCGTTGATATTTGAAATTACTAGACGGCAAATTTCACCCAGGAATGTCACCTCCTTGGTTCCGACCCAACACTATCAACAAAACCACTGCGCGGTGCAAAAGGGAGCTTTCGTACTGAGGGAGCCGTTAGTATCTTAAAGCATCAGCATCTCAGCATTTCCTCGGGTTCTTTGGAAAACAAACTGCAGAAACCATCCCTTCTCCACCAGCCTGTCACCGCAACTCTTGTGCGGCGGCTGGGAAAATAAATCCATTTCTGCCCTGGCTTTTAGAAGAAAAGATGGAGCAGGCACAGGGAAAAGGAGGAGGAAAGGGGTCTGCTTTGCAAGGAGGCGCGGCAGACAGACAGACGCGAGTCTGCCCCCCAAGTGGGGCAGGTGGATGCAGAAAACACAGAGCAAGCGCCAAAGCCACACCGCACACTTCCTACGGCTGGGAAACGGCAGTCACTGCAGGGCCAGCCAAGCCATTACCGACGGTCCCGTTACGAGAACACCGAGATCAAACGGAAGATCCAGATGTCTCTATAGGTGCCAGTCTTTGGGCTGCTACTGTCCTGACAAACTCATGTCTTTGAAGCAGCAAGCAAGGCTGAGAAGCTTGAGAGGGAGAGCAAAAAACAATCTGCAAGAAAAGTGGCAAGAGAAGCTGTCGAAACCCCAGCATCGGAGGAGGCCGCACCAGAGCTTGTCCACACCATGGCGCGTCTACACCGCTAATCCGGGAACTGGTGGTTGTTTTTCCAGTGCACGTGAAATTCTGCACACGGGCAAACCTTGTGCACATGACACGGAGTTTCGCAGATGGGGAATTCCGGAGCACTTGGAGGAGAGCCTCCCACAGTGACTCCTCTTGGGGGCTCGGATAGAACATTTAGGAAGCGTGATACCTCCAAAGCTGTTTCATCGCAAGGAGAAACCCCCGTTTTTTCTGCCCAGCTAGAGCCAAAGACGTGGCGGGGATGTGGAGGAGGAAGCGGTGGCCAAGCAACTTCCTCCAGGATGGGGCCGGGTCTGCGCCTCCTCTAGCCAGACACAGGAGCACCTCGGGAGGAAGAGGTTCTGCTGCAGCTTCTTACCTTGCCCGTCCTCCGCAAGGTTGGCTTCTTGATGGCAGGAACTCTGGGCGCAGGCCGACGGGGCAGCAGCGGGGCCGCCCCCGCAGGGGGCTCTGGTTTGGAAGGCCCTTGGTCCCTCAGGGCCGGGGCGTTTAGGGCTTCGCCTGGGGTGCCTGAAACACACAGCGGTACGGCTGAAGCGGGCAGGACAGGGCAATCCGCTGCGTGATCTCATCTTTACACAGTCCACACGCTAAGGAGTAACGTGCTAAGGCAATGGATTTCCTTTTTTTTCTAAAAAAAACCCCCAACCTTCTGAGTGCTGTCAAGACCAACCAGCTAGGTTTAGCCCCCAGCATCTCATGTTCATCTTCTCAACAGGGATGCTCTTCAAGGGGGATCGGTGAGGCCCAGACATCATATGCAAAGTTTTATGTCTGTGCATTTCTCTGGGGAGGTTATCTGAAATTTCTCAAAATCTCAGCTAAGGGGGTGCTCAAGGGTTGAGTGTCTGCCTTTGGCTCAGGGTGTGATCCCAGAGTTCTGGGTTTGAGTTCCGCACTACGCTCCTCGTGGGGAGCCTGCTTCTCCCTCTATGTCTCTGCCTCTCTTTATCTCTCATGAATAAATAAAATCCTATAAAAAAAGATTATCTCCCACTCTCTCCCCACCACTCTCTCTATAAATAATAAATAAATAAGTGGAATTATATAATATATAACCTTTTGTGTTTATCTTCTTTTACTCAGCATAATATTATCAAAGTTCATCTGTGATAAGGCATATGTAGGAGTAGTTCTTTTTTATGGCTGAATAATATTCTGTTATATGATTACACTACATTGTATCCTTCTATCAGCTGGTGGTCACGTGGGTGGTTTCAGCCACACAATTTTATTTTTTTAAATAAAAACAGAAACCACTCATGATAGTGTTATCCTACAACAGTGTTTCCTGACCTCTTAATTCATGCCCTCCTTCAAAGTTACTTGGGATTCCAAGTAAGTTACATACCTTGCCTAAAAGCAAATAGACAGCAAGTGATTGGCTACGGTGTTTCAGAGGGCATGATCTCTTCTCTCCAAAAGAGATACTTGTACAAAATCAATACAAAAAAATCCCCTCAAAAATATTAGCACCAGCAATTTTGAATGTGATTATGATTAATATGATTAACATGGGTTAAGTGAAATAACAGCACCAAAAAATTAACAGGTAGTATGGTGAGGAAGAGGTCCCTGCCTGACAGTAAAGAATTTATACTTGCTGCTGATTTCAAAAGTAGGTTTTGTGCCTAAAATAGGGAGGTGTCCCAAATTACCTCTTTTTATGGAGCTGGCAAAATGAGTTAGTGCCTGGAGCATTATTATCCTTTTCTAAAATTCATTTTTGTTTATTTCCATCTCTCCCTTAAAGCACTTCTTGGTAATCTTGGGGCTACTTCTATATACTTACTGAATTTTAAATATGTAATTTCAAATGGACTATAACATTTAGTGGAAGTTTATTAAGTGTTGCTAAAGGGTGTTTCCAATTTAATACTGCCTGCAGGGGGGAAAAAGTTACTTTCATTCGAGGCCCCTTCTAGTAGGAAGATGCATAGAAAAGACCAGAAGGGAAGTCCCAGCAGAACGCTCACCTCCTCTGGCTTCTAGGAGACATCGGATGGCTGCTTCTGCCTCCTGGGCATTGGTAGTTTTGATCTGCTTGACATTATAGGGTTTACTTATCCCCATCCTGGCTTTGGGCTTCAGCACAGAATCAAGAAGAAAGGCATTATTAACACAGGCAGGAAAACAGGCTCACCTGGTGCCCTCCCTGCCTACTGATCAGCTTGCAAGCCTGAGGTGCACGGCGCTCCTTCAGACGGCAGTTAAACACAAACTCCAACACAGAGCGCATCCCTCAAGCCTCCTTTCCCCAGAAGCACGCTCAGAGCAAGAAGACGAATGCAATAATTCAGAGCTGACAAGCCTCCTCTCCCAAACTGGGTGGTTACAGGTGTTTGTAAAGTGGATAAATCACTATCTATTTCATTAATCAGGCAAAAGCCAGAAAGCCTCATCAGAAGCCACTTTTCCCACAGCTCAACAGTTATTAAAACACCTTCCCACTTTTTCCTCAAATGTGCTTTTTCTACCTCTTCATCTTTCTACCTCTGAACCCAAACCTCTGGGTTGCCACCGATGACCTGCCTTCACTACCATCAACCACTGAGGCCTGGTCATCCCTTCTCCTGCTGTCACGCGTGACATCTGCCCCAGCCTCCTGGGATGGTTCGCCTCCATCCAGCACCCTGGCTTCACCTCTCTCACCTCCATTCCACCAACCACCACCTCCCGTCTTCCTCAGCGGCTCATTGCCATCCTCTGGAACTTTCTACTTCTACAAGCCTCCCTGACTGTGGTTATTACTACTGTTCCGCAACCGTGCTAAATTATTTAGGGCCTGTTACCCCTCTTCTTTTTAGCCTCTTCTTTCAAGACGACTGATCTGAATTTCTCCTACTTTGCCTTCTGTTGAGCACTGCTCTGCACACCAAGGTCAAAGGTGCGCATCAGAAAGAAGCAGATGAGTCTGGAAACCAGCAGTCCCACCCTGCAGGGACACATGGGATTTTTCACCAAATAGGATTTTCTAACACTCTGTACAACTATGTAGAAACTCTCTAAGACCTGCTCCTGAGTTCTGGGTTTGAGACAGAGCTGGCAGGCAGGCAGGCAGAGGGTAAAGAGATTTAAGTCTGTGTTTGCTGAGAAGAGGCAATCCCAGGGATCCCTGGGTGGCTCAGCGGTTTGGTGCCTGTCTTGGGCCCAGGGCGTGATCCTGGGGTCCCAGGATGGAGTCCCGTGATGGGCTCCCTGCATGGAGCCTGCTTCTCCCTCTGCCTGTGTCTCTGCCTCTCTCTCTCTCATGAATAAATAAATAAAATCTTAAAAAAAAAAAGTGGCAATCCCACACAATCTTAGGGGCTGAAGATGAACCATGGGGCAATCCTTTGGGTTTGAAATGCTGGCCCATTTTGCTTTGAGGCTGAACTCAGAAGAACTCACTGCTTGCTGAGGTGCTCCCGGCAGAAGCTTTGCCGTCTGCAAAATCGAGTACTGCCCGTGGGTGCCGGAGGAGATGGACACGTCCGAAGCTGACTTTTTCACCATTAAACCAGCTGGGAAAACCAACAAGGGCAGAGTCTCAATCTCAGTGAAGTCACCGGCTGCTTTGAGGCCAATTCCCAGCCAGCCGAGAGCCAGGCCAACCACAGATGCATTTAGGGGCTCAGCCCGTGCATGGCAGGTGGGCATTCACAGGGTTGATATTAAATTTCTCTTTTGATTCTCAAACAGTTTGTGCCTATTCTCTGGGAAGGATTATTTGCATGCAAACTTTAATCTAACATCCTGGGGCGGTTTAAATCTGATACAAAAATCAATTTATTTTTAAGTGGTTTAAAATACACTACTGTTATTAGGAGCCAATTTTAAAAGTGGTTTGTAGGCAAAATCTAAAAAATCCCAAAGCAGGGAAATAAGTGATATTAAATTATACTTATAGTCATTAAGAAATCATATTTTAGAACATTTAGGGGCACTTGGGCAGTGCAGTTGGCTAAGTGTTTGACTCTTGGTTTCAGCTAGATCGTGATCTCAGGGTTATGAGATCGAGCCCCACATTGGCTTTGCGTTCAATGAGGAGTCTGCTTGGGACTTTCTCTCCCTGCCCCTTCCCCCACTTGCATGTATTCTCTTTCTCTCTCAAAATAAATAAACTTAGGGCAGCCTGGTTGCTCAGCTGTTTAGTGCCGCCTTCAGCCCAGGGCATGATCCTGGAGACCTGGGATCGAGTCCCATTGTCGGGCTCCTGCATGGAGCCTGCTTCTCCCTCTGCCTGTGTCTCTGCCTCTTTCTCTGTGTTTGTCATGAATAAATAAATAAAATCTTTTTAAAAAAATCTAAAAAATAAAGGAATATTTAATGACACAGACATTAGATGAAAGACAAATGACCAAAGAGCATGGATACCAGTTTTGTAAAAACTAAATAGCCATGTGTAGCTACAGATGTATGCAATTAGAAAAAGGCTAGAAGTCTCGTGGTTAACAATTGTTATTTATAGACAGTCAAGTGAATTTAAACATCTCATTTTCTATATCTGTTTTTGCAAATTTCCACAATATGATGTAAATTTTACTTTTTATTTACTTATCATTTTGTTCTCTGGGTGTTAACTCAGAAAAGCAAAGAATATGCTTAAAAAGTCACGTGCTTCCAGCCTGCCAACAATTGCTCTTGTGACGTAAGCCAAGAGGAGCCCAACTGGGAAGTAAAGCCTGAGGGAAAGATCTCTGTGTCTGACTGCACTTTTAGGGTGGAGGGAGGAGTGAACAGAAGAGGTAAAACAGAAAGTACTGGACTCTTTCTGAGATCAACACAAAACGGAGCCTGAGGAGGGGAAGGCGGGGGACCCAGAGGCGGGTGTTGAGTGGCAGGAAATGGGTGGTTATTCCCAGCAGGCACGGTGGTAAGCCCAAAGCAGCAAAGTCTTACTTGGAGGGGGGGGTCTCTGCGGTGGGTGAGGTGGCCGAGGCCTAGTGGGAACCGACAAAGACCTGCTTGGAGAACGGTGTCGGAAATCCCCAACTGCTTCCAGCTCCTGCTTTAGCTCCACCAGGTCAGCATCATCTGGAGGACATGGCGGAAGGTGAGTGAGGTGGGAGGCAGGCCTCAGACTCGGGTCTGCGCGGAGCTGACCATGCAGGGGGGCTCCCCGCGAGACAGGGCCCCCCTCTCTGTGGGCATGGGAGGGTGGGTGGGCGGGGGCACCCAATGCCTGCTTGGAACATGAGATGAACTGTGGACCAGCCTTCTGATCCTGACATGAGAGAGAGAGAAATTTTTCCAAGTGTAGGGGTACTTCCTTCTGAAATAATGAAGGAGGCTCACACAGAGGACTAGAGGAGACAGCTGAAGACCAGAGTACCCCAGTTTTAATTCCTCACTCTACAACAAGACAGCTGGGGTGCCTGGGTGACTCAGTAGTTGAGTGTCTGCCTTTGGCTCATGATCCTGGGGTCAAGACCCGCATCGAGCTCTCCGCAGGGAGCCTGCCTTCCTCTGCCTACATCTCTGCCTCTCTCTGTGTGTCTCTCATGAATAAATAAGTAAAACCTTATAAAAACAAACAAACAGGACAGATGTTTTGGAAGTTTAGGATATTCTCTGCCTCTGTCAGCAGGGTTGCCTGCCATCCAGTGGCAAGCTCCTAGTATGGAGCGTCCTTGCTCATCCATCAAGCCCCAAGTACCAAAACCCACTGCCTCTTGACTTGTCCTGCAAATACCTTCTAAGGCTAAGAGGGGCGTGAGGAAGTGACTGCTTTGATTTATTACCTAAGTTCAGGAAAATTTCAGATCTTCTCTCTCCCACTGCATCACAGCCTGACTCATTTTATTTTGGCTCAGACACTCTACCCCTCACATTTCCAACAGCTCAAGCCCATGTATTTTGGAGCTAGGAAGAGGTAGGCTTCTCCTTCTAATGGGAATTCCTGAACCCCCATAGCATCATGGACATGCCTTCTTGACATTCACCATCAAGCACCCTCATGCTGCTCTACTCGTTTTTCATTCAGAGAGGCCTTTGAGCGCATGTGTGCACTCTGCTTGGGAGGATTCCTGAATGATGGCCATTCCTGCAGAAAAGGACTGCCTGCTATCTGAAAAGCGTGTCCCTTCAGCCACCTACTCCAGGGCAGGAGCCCTCTGGATGTGCAGGGCACAGAACCACCTCGATGCATGGATGAAGACTGCTGCTTCCCGGTAGCAGTCCCCAATCTCAGCCATGCATCTCAGTCCTCCAAGGAGCTTCATGACCTGCCAGATTTTCAGGGTCCCAGCCCACCCCTGCCAAATCCACATCTCTATGATGGGGCTCAGCAACCTGTAAGTTTAAAAGCTCCTGCTGGCTCAATGTAGTCAGCCTACTAACCACCTCTGGGACCACTGTACAGTCAAAGGGGCTTAGAGGTGTCTGCACCTCTCCCAGTAAATTACCTTCCCTGGGAAGCATCTCAATTCACTTTCACCATGTTCTGTGTTCTCAGCCAGAGCTCAAAGGGTCCTGAAATACTCTAAGCTCCCGAACCTGCTGAGCACAGCTTTCTTCCAGTGGGGGAGGGGGAACACAGTGACCAGCAGCTGGAAGGCACTTGTGGCTGGAGCAGTCTGAGGCTAGAGCAGGACTACCCTACTTTCCAGCCTATGAAATGCCAGCAGGTTTTAAAACTTATTCAGAAGGGCCATTATACCATATAACCTATGACTTTGAAGTTCAATCTGCAGGGCTTTCAGTCCCTCTTTGCTCAATCTCAAATGATAGAATGATGCTAATGTATGTTAATGTACAATAATGTGTTATATGAATGTAACCATACACCAGCACTCAGGACCTGATGGATACTTAGATACCTGATAGACTTAGAGGGTGCGCTAAGTGAAATAAATCAGACATAGACAAGTATGATTTCATTTACATGTGGAATCTAAAAACAAAACAAAACAAAATAAAAATAAAAACAAAACAAATAGCCAAAAAACCCAAAACAAACAAAAACAAACAAACAAACCATTAAACCCAGAAACACATACAGAGAACTGGTGGTTGACTGGGAAGTGGGAGTAGAGGAAATAGGTGAAGGAGATTAAGAGATACAAACTTCCAGTTATAAAACAAAACAGTTCCAGGGAAGAAAAAGATAGCATTGAGAATACAGCCAATAATATTTTTTTCAACATTATAAGGTGACAGATGATAACCACACGCACTGCGTTACATATAGAATTACTGGTTTGCTAAGTTGTATACCTGAAACCAATATAACATTGTATGCCAACTATACTTCAATAAAAAAATAATTATGTCTCTCATGGGACTGAAAGAGAAACATTTTGGAGAGGAAAAACAGAATTAGAAATGTAAAACCAGTTCAGAGAGGTGGCCATTTAAACATACAGAGGGAAAAAATAAAATAAAATAAACATACAGAGGAAATAGGAATTACTACAGATCTTGTGTGCTATAGGGGTACCAGTGGTTAAAAAAAAAAAAAAAAAAGAAAGAAAGAAGAGAAAAAGAAAAAAAAGAAAAGAAAAAAGCACTACAGAAAATTGGTGTGGTGGTAGCTGGATCCAGGCCCAAAACCCGGTTTCCACTCACTTGCTATGACTTGTTGTTTTAGCTCTAGGGTGGGCTGTGGGCATTTGATTCGTGGTACGTAATGTCCTGGTGTTGAGAGAAAGAATGGACTCGATGCCAGAGGCTTTTTAGAAAAGGAGGGGCCAAGCTACCTTTGTACGTTGGGTGCTGCTTCTTTTTAGTGAGTGCAGGTGACTTGCTGGCAGGCACCGCTGCCGTGGAGGCTTCAGAAAGGTTGTCCGCCCCCATTTCACCATCTGAGACCACAGACTGATTTAGCTCATCCACCAAATAGTCTTCGTCATCTTCGAGAATATCCCCTAGGGGAAGGAAATGTCATAGCACACCATCAGGGTACATAGCAGAGCCTTTCAGCAGTGGGTCTGTTTCTTTCTTTCTTTTCTTTTCTTTCTTTCTTTCTTTCTTTCTTTCTTTCTTTCTTTCTTTCTTTCTTTCTTTCTTTCTTTCTTTCTTTCTTTCTTTCTTTTTTTTTAAAGATTTTATTTATTTATTCACTAGAGACAGAGAGAGAGAGAGAGAGAGAGAGAGAGGCACAGAGACACAGGCAGAGGGAGAAGCAGGCTCCATGCAGGGAACCTGATGTGGGACTCGATCCCAGGTCTCCAGGATCACGCCCGGGGCTGAAGGCGGCGCTAAACCGCTGAGCCTCCTGGGCTGCCCAGTGGGTCTGTTTCAACATCCAGGCTTGCGGCTCGGCATCAGGATGTCTGCGGCACAGCTTCCTGCAGCCCAGAGGCCCCCACGTGTCAACAGGTACAGGATCCCAATTCCACTCACACCTGAGACACGAGACTGTGCCTACAGCCCAGACATCCTCAAAAGCCCTGTTTCTCACTATCATGTCAGATGGCTCCAGGTCTTATTTACCCCTTCAGGCGACACCTCTAGACGTGCACACTGCCGGCAACTTAGCACGACGAATAAATGCTTGCACTCAAAGGGCCCTCTGCAATCGTAAGGTGTTAGAAGGGGGCTTGAAAATCTCATGCTGGGGAACACCTGAGTAGCTCAGTGGTTGAGTGTCTGCCTTTGGCTCAGGGCATGATCCCAGGATCCTGGGATCAAGTCCCATATTGGGCTTCCTACAGGGAGCCTCTTTCTCCCTCTGCATGTCTCTGCCTCTCTGTCTGTGTCTCTCACAAACAAATGAACAAACAAATAAATAAATAAATAAAATCTTAAAAAAAAAGAAAAAAAGAAAGGAAAAAAAAGAAAATCTCATGCTGGTTGTCGGAACTTCTTGCCTGCTGACCTCGCCACAATGACCAAGAAGTCCTGGAGAACTTGGTCACTTAAGTGACTACTCACCTTCTGACTCATAGTCCAAAGTTGTGAAGTCAAAGTTTTCCTCCAGCAAACAGGAATTGGCAGTGGGAGACATGGAAGCCATGCTATCCCGCTTTCGGATGATCTCCTCTTGCAAACCTTTTAGCCAGTCCTTGGTCTTTGGTCTGATCTTCACTGCTCTGCCTTTTACCTGTGAGGACAGAATGGCCATCTGAGGATGAATGCAGACGTCAGAACCACTCCCTTCGCTTTCAAAGGGCATCTCGCTCAAACTCCTGCATGAGAAGCAGGCCAATCTTCATGTTTTGCTAAGAAAAGTTGAGAATCTAGACCTCAGGCAAGATCATGATAGCTCACATTCAGTCAAAATAAAAGTTGAATTATCACTTCCAGCCTTTCATCCCATGTGAGTATAAAACCAGGATATTATCAAAATGGGAAATATCTGTATGCTGCATATTTCAAAATAAACCGTCTAAAGAAAATGATTGTAGTGCTCTCCCACCGGCAGGTGTGAGCCAAGATGGACCCAGTGACTCAGTGGGATCTGCCCTCTAAAACTTGCTCTTCCTCCTAAATTCTGCAAGTGGCCAGGGAGACATTAGATATACTAATATCCTCAATGAGGACACCAGAAATAGACACCAGAAGGAAGAGTGCTATTGCCTGCCCTCCTGTGGAGTCCGCACCTTAAGGGAGAGGTGAAGAGATGCCTTGACCATGTAAAAGCCCAAGGAAACAAGCAGCCCCCCACTTTATGAGTGACCAAGCATGACTCACCTTCATACCATCCACGTCCAGGACGCTGAGAGCTGAGTGACTGTCTGCAAAAGTCACTAGCATTTGCCCTTGGTTGATCCTGGAATAAATGAGATATGCCAAGTCAACACCAAGAGCAGCTCGGTGGCTCTCACGGGTCCTGGCCAGAATGCACATGACATGCACCCAGGACCCTGTGCCAGCCGGGGCGCTAGTTACCTGACAAGAACAATGGTCCCATAATTGCCCAAGGTCTGCATGAGTTCTGTGCGTACATCCTCAGGAAACTCATTTTTCTCTTCTAAAGTTGGCGACTGGAGGTTGACTACAACAGTGGCATCGAGGGGGCCCTGGAAAGAGGACACTTCCTGGAACACCCTCTCCCGAGCACCCACATCGACTTCTTGAACTTCCACCTCCACGATCGCCAGCACGGGTCTGCGTTAGACATGAAGGGAAGATGGGTGATGGTTAACTGGCTGAGTAGGTCCTGACCCCCACTGGCAAGAGTGAACAACAATGACCCATGGTGTGGCCCTGGCCCAGCACCTGCAGCCCGGTTGTCCTGTCCTAGGATTTCTGACTCTGTCTTTGCCCAGCCTTAGCACTGTCTTGGCATTCTTACCTAAAGGATGATTTAGAGAAAACAGTGCCCTGTTAGCGGAGATTTTTTTCTTATGTGGTACTTGCCAAGATTGCTGAGGATGGAGAGAAGTGTGAATTCTCCCTCTGCTAGGGGAACAAGCTTTTTGGACAGCTATTTGGCAACTGGTGTTAAGAATCTCGAGGATGGGGACGCCTAGGTGGCTCAGTGGTTGAGGGTCTGCCTTTGGCTCAGAGTGTGATCCTGGGGTCCTGGAATCGAGTCCCTCGCTGGGCTCTTCCCAAGGAGCCTGCTTCTCCCTCTGCCTGTGTCTCTGCCTCTCTGTGTCTTTCATGAATTAATAAATAAAATCTTTAAAAAAAAAAAGGAATCTCAAAGATGTCCATCTCCACTTGACGGGATGAGCACTGGGTGTTATTCTGTATGTTGGTAAATTGAACACCAATAAAAATTAATTTATTAAAAAAAAAAAGAAAGCAGGACAAAAAAAAACCCAAAAAAACAAAGATGTCCATCTCCTTTGACCTACTAATTTCAATTCCAGGTCTTTGTTCTAAGAAAATGATGAGAGATTCAGACAAAGATTTATACACAAGGATGATTATTACAGCACTGTTGCTGAAAGGGGAAAGGGGAAACAATCTATCTGCCCCATACACGAGAGGGAAACAGGTTATGGTGTAGCCATATGATCATATATTATACAACTAATAAGAACAATGTTGGAGAACTCTAGTTGACATACCCAGGAAAACAGGCCAGCAGGAAATAATGCAATCGTTATTGCAAGTGTGATATAGGGATGGGTTTACTTTCTTTACAAAAATTTAGGAAATCCTCTATTATGAAGATTCTGTAATCTCATCAAAGACATTTATAAGACAGTATTAAGTGGAAACAGAACAGAAGACAAAACAGTAGGTCATAGGATGGTGACCTTTAAAAACAGGGAACAACACTGTGAAAATGGGGAGATGTGAGTGATAACCGATATTATCCTACCACAAATTTGTATCACGATTGTTAGATTTTTGTTTTTTTGCATTTAGAAGGAAAAAGAAGACTGAGGAAAATCTGACACAGGGATGTGCACCAAGTGAGTAGTTGTAAAAGCTGGCAGGAAACCTTTTGGGAGAAGCCGCACGTGCTGTACAGGAAGCATCGCTGAGGAAAGCATGTGCACATGGGCAGCACCCCCAGTGATGATGCAAACAGGCTACTGATACTCAGAACAACTGCACGGATCTGTAGAGAATGAGGCTGGCAGGAAAAACCCAGTCCCCGAGTTCTGATGCCATTTATGTAACATGCTTGGAATGACGAAATGATGGGAAGGGAGAAAAAGCAGCGGCAGACAGGTTAGGGACCAGGGGAAATGAGCAGGGCTATGAAAGGCGCCAGGAGGCATCCCTGTGGTGAAGGAGATGTTCTGTATCTTGACAGTGACATTGTCGCTATCCTGGTCATGGCCCTGTGCTACAGAAGGACAGGATCTCCTCACTGCGGGGCCTGGGAAAAGGGACCTGGGAAAAGGGACCTGGGCTCTCTGTATTATTCCTTATAATCAGATGTCAATCTCTGATTACCTCAACATAAAAAGTTTAATTTAAAGATATGAATGTAGTAAGTAAAAAAGGCAACGTAATAAGTGAAAAGGCAACGTAAGTCTGCATAGTATAATCCTAATGTTTTTATATGCATTTATATATAATGCATAGCTGCACATGAAGGTTACCATTTTGGTATAAGATCTTTTAACGTGCATGGAAAATACAGAAGACATGTAACAGACCATTGCAGCCACTGTCTCAAAAGGCGAACTATGGAGGGTTTGTTTGCATACATAGGTTTTCCCAGTCAATGACTGAGGTGCTCTGTTTTTTTAATCAGAAAAATCCATAAATGTCTAAGATGCACCTCAAACCAGTGTGTCCAGATCCGTACCTCCCAGCAATCCAGCTGAGTGAAGGCTACTCTGTCCTTCTGGTTGCTCAGGCCAAACTCTGGGGTCTTCCTGAAATCTTCCCCCTCCCCCTCCCCACTCTGTCCTCCTAAAATCCCCCCCCACACACACACACACCATCCAATCCCTCAGACAATTCTGTAGGCTCCACTTGCAAAATCTATCCAGAACCCACCACAGGGACACATGACCACCTGGTCCAAGGCTGGCACTGATTCTTCCCTTGCTTACCACACCAGCTTCTTCCCTGGCCCAGTGGGATAGACTCTCTTTGGCTGATTCTGTCAACACCTCATCAGATAATGCCACTCCTCAGGCCTAGTAAAACCCATTGTGTTCTTGTGGCCTGCAGGGTTCTTCCAGATGGTCTGCACTTCTTGCCCATTTCCTATGACTTCCTCTACTCTTTCTACTCCACTTCTGTTCTCTCAATTCCTGAATGTTCACTGCTTCCCTCCTCACCCTGGAATGCTCTCCCCCTGATGCCCCTCTGGCTCAACTCACTTCTTTCAGGTCATCATATCGTAAAGGCTTTCCTTGAACACTGGGTATAAAAGAGCACCAACCCCTTGTCTGACTCTTATTACTATTTTTTTTCACATTTATTGTCTGTCTGTCCTTACTAGACAATTCCATGAGAATGTGGTCTTGTCTGTTTTGTTCACTGTTAATCTTCAGTGAACAGTATACAAGAACAGGTCTAGTATACAACGCCCTTCAGTGAATATTTGTTAAGTGAACTGCTTCTTAAAGACACTCACTGAATTAGCAAACCTGAAAATCCTATAACTGGAGATTTCCCAAGGTTGGTTTCTAGGTATGTATTTGCAACACGGCTTTCTCAAGAATTTAGGGTATCTAAAGATTTAGACCTACTGGCTGACCAGCTATTCATCAACTCTCTCTCCTAATTTCTTTCCTTGTAGAAGTCGAAACTGACAGGCTAGTTTTGGGAGCAGTCGTGGGAAGATCAAACCCTTCCTATTTCCACCCGAAAATGCCATTTTCTCTGTCTCTTTAAAAATGTTCTAGAAGACCAATCTCTCTCTGTGGCTGGTGCCAGTGCACATTGAGCTGACCAACCCTTTTGCTGTGTTCTGTTGTTAATGCAAGATATGCCAAACTAATAGCTCAGAGCATTTAAGAACTCAGAATCCAAACTTGAAAACCCTATGGCATTTGTAATAATAAAATATTAGGAAAAAATGTCACCAGTAGGTGAATGGGTAATTCCATGGATATATTTAGTGTAATACTGGACAGCAATTACAAGAGAATGAGCCAGGTCTGTAATATCAACATGACTGAATTTCAAAGATATTAAATAACAATAAAGCAAGTTGCCCAATGACATCATTTATAGGAATTTAAATGACAAAATAGTATAGGGTGCATCTTTGAAGTTTTCATGAATGATGTCATTTTTTTTTAGTACAAAATACTAACACTGATTCATTCTTGGTGGTGAGGACAGCTATTGGTCATGCTATTCTTGGTTCTTCACTATATTTCACACACGTGCACACATGCATTCCGAGGGGGACAACACATCTGTTCTCTGTGGGGAGCAGCAGACGCTGCTCACCCTGGCACGGGAGAATGTGCCCGACGCAGCGAAGACCATACCTGTGATCAGATGCTTGTAGTTCTGCTCGGCCGTAATACTTGAGCACACCAGGAGACCAGCAATGTCTGACTGTGTTGTCAGCATCTACATCGTTGTCTAGAAGGTTGAGTTCTTCAGCTACTCACAGGGATTCCGATCAAGAGACCCACATACAACACAAACTGGTATCAATATATGGGAATGCGGACCGAGGAAGCTGTACAACAGGGATCTCGGGCACAGACCACCACCTGTCTCAACCTTGTCTGCTCTAACCTGCTTGGCTGGAAACCATGTGGAGTTGGCCTGGGGTAGATAATCTATGTAGATTATCCAGTGATGCCTGTGGCCTCCCCAGTGGACAAACCGAGTGGGAAAGCAGACATCGTGGCTGTGGGGTTCCCATCCCAGGGGTACAGGGACACAGGAAGTCTGCACCTTTTATGTAGGCAAAGCCGAGGCTGAGGCCATCACTGTATCCTGGCCTCTCGGTGCCCGAGGGATGCCCACAGATGTCCAAAGACTGATCTGAATGATGTGATTCCCTGGCTTTGAAATCTCTGCAGCCATCTTGCCAGGAAAGCAGAGCTGTTTTATGTCTAGGTGTTCTGACTCAACTGCCCTTCCTAATTGGCCATCACAAATAATTCAAAATGTACTTGACCACTAATGAGGAAAAAGCTCTTCTTTCCTGTGTTTGGCTCCTGTTCAATTCCGAATTGGGAGCCTGGAGCAGGTAAGAGTTTGGTGGAAGCAAACAGGAGGGATAAAGTGCATGTGTGGGCAAGGGGAGACATACTGGACCAGAAGAGCCGTGGCCTCTCTCCTTGTTGTCCACCCAGAACAGAAGGCAGATGGGGTGGTGTTGCGGGGGGTGGCAGCCGTGATGCAGGGGCGGGGAGAGCCAGAGGGGAGCTCCCCAAAGCACAACTTCCAAAGCATAGGGGCCAATAGATGGAATGACTTTTCTATCGTTTGGGGTCATCAAGAAAGTTGTTATTTATACCACAAAGAGTGCTGTGCTGAATGAATGTGCAGACTTCCCCTCTACGCTATCGATCACGCCCTCCACCAGCTCTGAATGTGCACACATCTCACGCACCTGTTCTGTCAAAAGAGTGCCTCTTCCTCCACCACAGGACCCGGTCTGTCCAGGCAGGGGTGCGACATTTGTCACTTGTGTCGTAGGCAGCAGAGCCAACGTCATACTTGTAGGTAGGTCCAAAATTAATAACGCCTTCGTGAAAGTCTTTAAAAATCTATTAGGAGAAAAGACCAAGACCAACTTGGTTCTAGATTCTGTATATAGTATGCAAAAAAACAAAAAATAAGGAAGCACATTCCCAAGTGCCCCATTCCTAAAAAGACACAAAATCGACATTATAGTTGCAAATATGTCTCAAAGTGAACATGTGTATGCTATTTAATTAGCAAGAGAGGGATGATTATTGATTCCACTGACTGATGCACCACCCTGGGAACTCCTACCCACCTCGGGGACCCGATGTCCAACTGTCCCCTCGTCAGTGCCCCAGAGACAGTGGAAGGCACAAGGCAAGTATCACAGGGGCCCCTCCACTCAGCCCCAGACCTAGTACATGCCTGGGCATACCTAAAAGGCCCTTGTTGGTATTTGCTAACTAAATGAATTGAGTAAATAGAAGCGCAGGGGGACGCCTGGGTGGCTCAGCAGTTTAGTGTCTGCCTCTGGCTCAGGGTGTGATCCTGGAGTCCTGGGATCGAGTCCCAAATCAGGCTCACTGCATGGAGCCTGCTTCTCCCTCTGCCTATGTCTCTTTCTCTGGGTCTCTCAGGAATAAATAAAATCTTTAAAAATAGAAGCGCAGGACCGAAATGGAACTGTTTCTGGTTAGCTCTAGATCCAGCCCTGGTGCTGTGAGAAGACCCTGGAACAGACACCTAATTTTCTCCGTGCATCTGTAGAAGGATGTGGACAACACTGGTTGGAGGAAGAAAGAAAAACCTATTCTAGTGAGGTATGCTGTGGTTACTTTTCCATCCGGCCACCCCTCAGCAATGTCGTGGCAGGGCTGAGTGGGAGGTGAACAGAACATCTCAAAGAATGTGTGAATCTGGCTGTAGGAGAGAAATTAACTCTCCTAGCTCCACGCACTGAACCAGCCACATTTTCAAAAGGTAAATGGAGTGCAGGTGCTATGAAGCTAACAGGCACTGAAAAGAGCAAACAGTATTAGGTGGAGAACATAAGCTTCGGGTCATCTGGAAGCTGACCAGTGTGACTGTGAAGAACTGAGGGCAGACCCTATACCTGAATCTTTCCTATTATGTCATGGTCTAAGGAGTCACTAAAAAACTGCACATGGTGGGATGCCTGGGGGGCTCAGTCAGTTGAGCGTCCAACTCATGGTCTCAGCTCAGGTGATGATCTCAGGGTAGTGAGATCAACCTGGCATCGGGCTCCACACTTAGTGGGGATCTGCTTGAGATTTTCTCCCTCTCCCTCTGCCCCTGCCCCCACTCATTCTCTATCTAAAAAAAGAAAAAAAATCTTAAAAAAAATTGCACATGGGTCATGTAGTGGATAAAATATGAGCTCTATAGTTTGACGGTCTTGGATGGCATGATGGCTCTGTGTACTCATCTGACCTGGGCCTAAGTTCTTTTGTTTATTGAATGGGTGTAATACCTAATTTGTAGGATGGTCTTGAGGATTATCCACCCAAATTGGTATAAAGTATATTAAGTATTGTTATAATTTGTTAGTGTGCTTACCAATGAGAAACTGAGATCTCACCAAAATAGAGTACTTTGAGTGTCACTCGGTGGTTGACATTGTGAAGTCCGAAGGAGGAAGAGACAGCAAACCCACCCTCCAACTGCAGAGCACAGATTCTGGTGTTGGCAGGGAGTCTTCTGCTGCCATCAACTCCTACACTGGCTTTTGTGCTCACCAGCTTTCCATAGAGTGACTGACAGTCATTCCCACCAGGAGCACACCTGCCCTGAATGCAGCCCGTTGGAGGGGGACCAGGATGTGTGTGTGAACACACGCTCACGTTTCTCTGACTTCAATGCCTGAGTCTACTGAATGTTTCGATGTTATTCCAGAGTGGAAAAGCTGTTGAGACCTATCATAAGAGCACAACTTACTTTTCCACTTGATTTCTGTAGCTGTAGCTGATCAAACTCCAGAAGTTTCTTCCAGTCTTGGCGTTTGACAAAATAGAAGACTTCTTCATAAGTGAGATCAATGCGGTAGTTGAAATCGCCACACCAAAACACGTAATCATGAGAAAAAATGTTTCTTCCCTGTTAAAGAAAATTACAGTCGTTCCAGCTCATCTTGCAAAGAAGGTGGGCGAGGGGAGGAAAACTCACCCTGCAGATGATACATTTCTTAGAATGTTACTTAAAAAATGACTTCCAGTAGAGCACCTCATCTCTCAATCCCATACACCTAGTGCGGGGCTTTTATGTGGCTTACTTCATTTTAAATGACAGTGTTTTTGAGTGGTTTGGAGAAAGCTCATATTTAACTGGGAAGCATGACCCCCTTCTTCACTGCGGCCCAGCTCTGTGATCGGGCTGTGCTCCTGCTTTTATCAGGTCTACATCCAAAGAAGAGTTGCCCAAACATTCTGTGTTATGAGGATCAGGCTTAAGAAAATAAGTTAAAATGCTCAGAATGTGCAACTTTGCAAAATGTCACGGATTTTATCCATTTTCATCGTGTGACCTGTCCTATTCTTCCCCCTCTGCCCTGTCTAGCCCACCCTGAGCCAGCAGTCCCCCAGCACAGCCCTGGAGAGCGTGGGATCCTTGCCCACCCTTCCCTGCTGTGAATCACAAGGACAATGACAGCAGCCACAGCATATCACCCCTATCATCCACCTACGTGTGCTGGGCTCTGTTCTGGGGGCACACTGCCCTCACAGCAGCCCTGCAAAGCATGCACTATTGGCTCTCCTTTGGATTAAAAAAGTTCAAAAAAACTTGCTAAAGTTATCACTAACTCATAATAAGTGCAACATTTGAACTCAGGTCAACCTAAGTCCGAAATCTGTTTCTTTTTCCTTGTGTGGCATTTCCACTCTCTGTAACCCATAACGGTAATCTAGACAGAATATTAAAATGATCACAACCAAATAAATGAGTGTGCAGAGCACTGTTGGCCAGTAGAACTTTCTGCAGTGATAGAAATGCCCTCCATCCGCACTGTCCAGAACAGGAGCCACCAGCCACAAGCAGCCACATGCAGCCACTGAGTGACCATCAAAAAACATGGCCAGTGTAACCAAGGAACTCTTTGTTCTATTTCATTTTAATTAATTAAAATTAATTAAAATTTAAGTACCTGCTTGTGGCTAGCGGCTAGTCTATCAAAGAGCACAGGTGTAGCTCTTTGGTACAAATATCAAGGTATCCTTGATATTTCTGTTGGGGAAAAAAAACTATATTAAAAGCTCTTTGAATATTTTGAATGTGTCCAAAGTTGTTTACTATTTCAAGATAGCACTGTAAGTGAGAAGGGCTGGACTTTTTTTTTTTTTAAACTAAATAGACACACAAAGAAAATAAGCATAATGTCCCATTATGTAAAGTTGTAAATTTCCCAACTCTACTTGTTTTTTCTTTAATCCAAGAAATAAAAACTAGAGCAAAGATTACAGCACTTCTTAATGAGAATGAGAGTTTTTGCCTTGAGTACTGGTGCAGCCCAGAAAACAGGAGGTCAGTTTTACGGGATCTGTCTGGCCTCACACGGAGGACATGACCCAGCCAACTGTCACAGACAATGTGGCAAAAAGAGTTGGCAGGGAGACAGGTGGTTCGCAGCAGGCTGAAGGTGTGCAGGTGACATCTCTGCACAGGAATGAATGACAACATCTGAATCTGAATCTGAAAAGATGCCCTGCTGGCTTTGGGATGGAAACCCCCGCCGCCAGTAGAGGGCAGCCTGGCGCGCGTTGTCGGCAACCTGGAGCCCAGGTGGGAGGATCCAGGGCTCCTTGGACCTGAAGACACAGGTTTCAAAATCCAGCTTCCTTATCTGAGCTGCAACAGAAGGTATGTATGAAGATCATGAATCTTAGGAAAAGCGAGTCTAGTATCGTGTGGGCTCAGAGGTTCTTCACCAGCTTGGATGTACCGTGAACAGTGAATGAGAAAATCAGAAAATGCACAAAAAGGCAAAGAAACTGTAGGATGCAGACGGACATTCAGGAAATGTGCAGACATGGGGCACAGGACCCTCCAGGGCTGGACCCCCTGGGCTCACCTCTACTGTTCCATCCCAGGGTGCTTCCCCTGCCCCGGAGCCGAGCCCCTAGGACAGGGACCCTCCCGCAGCCGCACCCCCCGATGTTGGCCTGAGCTGGGAGCTAGCACCCGTATCCCCGTCATGCTCCAGGCCACCAGCCACCAATGCCACGCTGCTCTCACCATCGGGAAACTCAGCTTCTGGGTGATCTCCCTGTAGTCTTCGTTCCTCTCCTTCACCTGCGACTGGCCGGCCGTCAGGTGGCTGCACACGAAGCAGAAGCTGGAACTGTGGAACTGAAAGCGGATGCCCACGGCACCCTTGTTGCCCGCCTTTCCTCCCATGCCTGTCTTCACTGTGTCGATGGCCACGTCCCTGGAACACACAGCGAGCACGTGCGGTGGCTGCTCTGTGGCTTGGAAGGAAAAGCAAGAACCGGCTCTGCTGCAGACGAGAGCTGGGCAGCAGTGCCAGGCTTGCAGCTCGGAATCTGTTCAATCACATCGGTGGCCAGGCCACATGGCAACCACATGGCCGTCACTCCGGACTTCTGTCCTCTCGCTGTTGGCAGCTGCCTTGCGGTGGGCCTGGAGGGCCCTCTCCGCAGCCCCCACCCTCAAGTGCCCTGCACTCACGAAAGCACCCAGGAAGCTCTCACCTCCACCCTGGGTCCTTTCCATGTCCATGTCCTTGGGGCCCCTGACCCAGCTCGGACTTCACCATCCCCTGTCCTACCCTCTTGCGGCTTTCCTGCAAAGCACACATGGTGCCATCAGGTAATCAATATGTGTTAAGAACAGGAAACACCCTGGATGAGTGCTAGGCTGTGTAGGCAGTTTCCGCACACACTCCTGCTCACATGGGAGCCTGCTTACACTGCACACAGGTGAGCGTGCAGGTCCCCGGACCACAGACTGAGGCACTCAGACCCACACCTGCTCCCTGGGCCTATCAGTCGGCAGACAAGGTGAGGGGGTAACTGTCTGAGAGGCTAAGGCTGGGGGAGAGGCCGGGGACCTTGGGCGGCATCTGGGAAATCTAGAGTTCCCCAGCATCACTCCCTCTCTCATGGTTCATCTCTAACCTTTGCCCTGACCTTACCTTACCTTTCCTGACTTTGACCCACTCACTTTGGACACTGCCCAAGGGCCAGAATAAACACTCAGGGGGACACGGACTTAGAGATTTTCTGAAAGTCCTAGAAGAGGTTGATGAGCATGGAGGACAGTCATGCTCTCCAAGCGCTGCCATCGGCACGCCTCTCATCCTCTACATATTCAGAGGTGTTCAACCCGGAGCGGGGAAAGGCTCAGCCTGGCATGGGCAGTGAGCTCAGCCTGACATGGGAGGAAATTCTACGGATTTGACCAGGTAGCAGCAGGAGGTTATGAGTCATTAAGGGAAAAGGTTAAGTTCTTCCCAAACCTTAAAACACACACAGGCACACACGTGTGCACACATGCGTGTGCCTGCACACACACGTGCATACACTTTCCCAAGAGGACGCCCATTTGCTGAGTGTTCCCTTTCTGACAGTCACAAAGCTGTCACTTTAGGACATTACAACAGGGTGACAGTGGTAGAGGCTTTCTGCCCACACATCTTATTTAGAACTCTTTTAAAAAGAGACAAAAGAACTGGCATTTCCCGATGAGTTAACTCAGCTCTTGGTCAGAGGTTTCCTGTCTAAAACTTCAACCAGGAATCCCTTTCCTTGCACAAAACTGAGCTTGGGAGGACAACAATCACTCCCTCTGGAAGGGTTCGGCTTCCTGGCCTGCAAGGTTCCCACTGTGGCTTTTTAACCACCAGACAATATTCTATTCAGCCTGTTTTTTCCTCAGGGGGTTGCTACATTTATCTCGAATAATGGCAAGTCCCGATTCCTGTTGCAGGAGGGGAGGAGGAGGAGGAAGTCTGAACAAAACACCAAGACGAAAGACCCCGTGTCCCCCAGATGTTCATAAACTAAATGTTCTTACCTGATGAATGGGACATGGTATGGACGTACAAAGATATACAGACAGACGCCCACCAGCTGTGCCGAAGTCAAGAGAATGTACCTATGGGAGCGTGAGATGGCCTTCTGGAGCTGCTCACCCCACATCTTCCTGTTGGTGGTACTGGAAGAGAAGAGAAAGAAATGATGCCTTCCAGTCTGCTGGACATGGGCTCTCCCACCAACAGACTCCTTCAGCCTTTATTCTTTTTGTAGAGCTAGTATCCCACTGTCCCCACTCCCCTGTTACTGCCATGCCTTAACTCCCGCAGTGGACTATCTGTGTATTTCTGGTTGTGTCACACACATCACAGCACATACCTCACTCCCCCGTCACCTAAAACCCAACACAGCACCTTGCTCATCAAGAGCTGCATAGATCAGGTTTTATTATTTGTTCAGAAGGTTCCTTGAAATTAAACTAGGAATAAGTCCAGTTGACCCTATACAAAATGTTAATGCAGTGGTTTTCTTTTCCTTTGGATCTGGTGGAGAGAAGAGAAGCCCATTCCCCAGGAAACAGTGAATCAGCACCCCTCCAGCCTGACCCTCAGCACACACCCTCCAGGTGTGCACTCGCCAGCTCACAGCCTCCTCCCCACATGGCCAAGGACATACCTGCCCTTCCCTCTGTTTCCTTAATTTGCAAAGAGGAAGTGGAGGTGCATGTCTGGGGGGGGGTACTGGAGAGCAATCTGCAGTGCCTATACATCGAGGGTCATAGGATAGTGCATGCAGAAGCAGGACGAACCCAGAGACCTGCTCCTAATGAGGCACCTGGCTTGGAAAAACTTTGGGCGAATTTCAGGGTGTGGTCCTGCACCCCTCATGCCCAGACACTCACCTGGCATTGACGATATTCCCTGCGCTCAGTTCCACCATCTCTTCAAACCCCACAGCAAATATGTCAGCTGGGCTGTCCTCATCTAGGACAAGGCAGGAGTTGAAGGACATCAGATCCCACAAGGCCTGTGTTAGTGGACTCGTGGGGCGCCTCGTGTGCCTCTCTGAGCCGGGGTGCACTCATCCCGATGACTGAGTGAAGCTCCCTACAGATCCCCACCTCCCCTCACCTCCCACTGTGCATGGACCTGCCCTGTCTCCATCCCGGGGCACCTTATCGAACTCTCCCCAAACCTCTGTTCCTTTGTCTGCAGATGGGACAGTAACCGTCATCTCACAAGGATGTTGTAAAGCACCCATCAGGTGACGTGTGAAGTGCCCACCCCACCTGGCAGGTAGTTAGGGCACTGCCCTGTGGGTCCCTCCGGGTGACCCACAGGTGCATCAGACCCAGCCTTAACCCGTTAATGACTGCCTGAGGTGGTCTTGTCCCAGGGGACTGCTGTCCTGGACCGCGGCTGGAGGTGAGAACACCCTGCCCAGCTCAAGGTGGTTATTGCTGTTCCCTGGTGGCTGCTGAGGCCTGCTGCAGAAACGTTTTATGGGAAGCACAGCAAGCTGAGGGGCTGCCCATCCCTTCTCTGCGTCCCCTCTAACAGGGAATCAGAGGGGTTAATAGGATCCCTACAGCCACTGGCTGCCTCTCTCCAGTGGCCCCCGTCCTGCCACTCAGCCCTTGAGCAGTGGAAAGGGAGACCCTGCCCTCCCTGAGGCTGTGGGGAAAGGCCTGGCATCCACTTCCTTTCCTCCTGGCCTCACAGGGCAGCCTGGCACTTCGAGCTTAATTGGCTTCAAGTCTCTCTTCTTTGTTTCAAGAAAAAAATACCTATTCCTCCGAACTGCTGGCAAGAGTCGCCACAATCCCTCCTTCCCTCTGAACCTGGCAAGTTCCCCGTGGTGCTGCAGGGCTGCCATCCCAGTAAAATCCCCAGCAAAGTGGCAGCCAGCTTGCTGTCACCACCCACCCATCCCTGCAGGCACAGGAAGATGGGGGGGGGGCCCTCAGCGCGTCCAGGGCCTTTCCCCGGTGGGCATTCTGGTCACCACCCACACAAGAATCCCAGGAACCCCACGCTGTGGACCCGAGCCACCCCGCACCTCAAGGCAGCGGCGGGGGGTGCGGGTGCCCGTGACAGTACGGGGTAGGCTCTGCGCACAGCTCAGGGCACAGACCCGAGCGTGGCTCCCTTGCACCATCCCAGGTCGCTGGAGGAAGCCAGCCCGCCCACAAATGCCAACTGAAGAGAAGCCTTTACTCCTCAAACCCTGCATCCTGAGGCCAGTATCACCTCACGTGATAGAAGACAAACAGTGAAGTGCCAAGTTTGGAATCACTTGGTTCTTAAGGGGCACGCAAATTCTTTTGTGACTATGTGACACAGACGAGCAGACGGAGGCGTTTGGGGAGAAGGCTGGGACAGGGAAGGCTGGGACAGGTGTCCTCGGCCCGGCCCCACTTCCCACAGTAACGCAGCCCTGAGCACATCCTCCTCCTTAATGACAGAGCCAAACCCAAACTGCAAAATCTCTCTATGTGGCAAGAGAGACCTCCCCGCTCTGGTGACCCTTCCAAACATCTGGAAAAGAGAAGGCGCCAAGTAACTTGCCAGGTGTGTTCTGGAAACAGAGACCACAGCCCTTTCCAAACTTTCTGAGGACTGAGGGCACCACATGCCACATCTCAAGGAGTCGTGGGCTGCGGGAAAGGTCAGCCGGGGGGCAGGGGGGTCGCGGTGGAATCTGTGTTTCAGGGTCAAGCCGCAGCGCTCACCCTGGGATCCCGGGAGGCCCGAGCACGTGGGGGAGTCGAGGAGCCAGTCGGCCAGCTCGGCCGTCCCCAGGAGGTTGCTCCGGAACTGCTTGCCTCCGTTCACGTTCCACGTCCCCGTGGCAATTCGGATCCGCCTGAAATTTGTGAATTCCGACTGGCGCTCAGCCATGGCCCTCAGGATCCTGGGAGTCACTGTGTAGAGGCAGGAGAGGGCATGTTTGTCTACACCGCACAACCACACGCATCCTCCCCAGACTCGGAAGGGGCTCCCTGTTGGGGAGAGGGCTGCAGCCCCTACGGGCAGGGGCCGGGTTTGCTCCCGCGAGGGTGGGGAGAAGCCAGAGCCACCAGAACCAGTAGACTTCCCTGGGGCATTTGTGTCACGAAGCCCCGAAAACACAGGACCACGCGTTCACTCTTGACGCCCTTTACCCAAACAGACACCACAGGGAGTCTCTGCTTGGCACGTTCTCCACCACCCAGTGGGGCTGTCAGCAAGGGGATGCCGCAACCCACCCCACTCTGAACACTGGTACCTAAAACTTGAAACATCTTAGGGTAAGTGGCTCAGTTGGTTAAGTATCTGCCTTCAGCTCAGGTCATGATCCCAGGGTCCTGAGATCGAGCTCCATGTCGGGATCCCTGCCTGGTAGAGAGTCTGCTTCTCCCTCTGCCTCCCTGCTCGTGTTCTTGCTCGCTCACTCTCTCTCTCTCTCTCTCTCTCAAATAAATAAAATCTTTAAAAAAAAAAAACACTTTTAAATGTCTTACGCCATCTTGGCCTTTTTCACCCTCCATCCCTCATGAGATACTTTGTTTGCCTTACCCTGGACTCAAGCCTTTAAAAAAAAAAAAAATCATTGCTCTGAATCATGTCCATCCTCTGGATATCCGAAATACATTCCATTTTTTTTAAATGAGTGACTTACCTCAAATCTATGTCATTCCTACCTATCTACTTAATAAGATCCTGTGCTACTCAGATCCTCTCTCAGCTTTGACCAAGCTGGCCTGATTTCCAGGTTGACGCAAATAATCACCTTGGTGAAGTGAAGCCAAGCGAAAGTCTTTATGGAGGAATGAAAACAGCAAAGGGGCTGTGAAACCATTTTAAGCATGGGCAAATTAATTTTTCAAAAAGTTCTAAAACTTACACGGTCTTATAAGGAAAAATGCTGGGTTCCCCCTTCTTCTCCACTAGCTCTATAACATTTATAGGGTCTAGGGGATAAGAAGCCATTAAAATTCCCTCAAAGAAACCTGTAGCTCATTTACAGGTAGAAGTTAAAAACCAAAAAACAAAACAAGAAACCAAAAAGAAAAAAACCCACCAAAAAAACAACCCTCCCCCCAAACTCTAAAAACCATGAACTCCTAGACATAGAGAATGGACTAGGTGTTGAGGGGTTTGGGGGAGAGAAAGATGAAGGGAGTCAAAAGGTATAAAGTCAGGAAGTCCTGGGGATGTAATGCACAGCAGAACCACCATAGTTGATAATACTGGGTCACCCATTCCAAAGCTGCTAAGAGAGTAGATCTTAAAGGATCTCATCATATGAAAAAAAAACCTTTTGTAACTATGTGTGGTGATGGATATTAACGAGACTTACTGTGATCATTTCACAACGTACACAAGTATTGAATCATGATGTTGAACACATGAAAGTAATACAATGCCACATGTCAACTATATATCAACTAACAACCCCAAACCTCTAGCTATTGACAGAAGCATGACAATCTTGCCCCGAGAGCAGGAGGTGTCCTGATCCCCGGAGACAATCATTTCTTCTCCTTCTTTCAGTTCAGTAGGGTCCTGGGACCATAACAAACAGGGGGCCACTCTCACGGGAGACTCCCTGGGACAAAAGATACCTGGCGATGGGACCAAGAGCCCACTGGGAAGGCAGCTATGCTCACCACTATACATATCATGATGACACTAAACTCATATCTGTCAATAGTAACTCTGAACGTGAATGGGCTTAATGACCCCATCAAAAGGCGCAGGGTTTCAGACTGGATAAAAAAGCAGGACCCATCTATTTGCTGTCTACAAGAGACTCAATTTAGACAGAAGGACACCTACAACCTGAAAATAAAAGGTTGGAGAACCATTTACCATTCAAATGGTTCTCAAAATATACCCTAAAAACTATAGAACACTTCTGAAAGAAATTGAGGAAGACACAAAGAGATGGGAAAATATTCCACGCTCATGGATTGGCAGAATTAATATTGTGAAAACGTCAATGTTACCCAGGGCAATTTACACGTATAATGCAATCCCTATCAAAATACCATGGACTTTCTTCAGAGACTTAGAACAAATTATTTTAAGATTTGTGTGGAATCAGAAAAGACCCCAAACAGCCAGGGGAATTTTAAAAAGAAAACCATATCTGGGGGCATCACAATGCCAGATTTCAGGTTGTACTACAAAGCTGTGTTCATCAAGACAGTGTGGTACTGGCACAAAAACAGACACATAGATCAATGGAACAGAACAGAGAACCCAGAAGTGGACCCTGAACTTTATGGTCAACTAATATACGATAAAGGAGGAAAGACGATCCACTGGAAGAAAGACAGTCTCTTCAATAAATGGTGCTGGGAAAATTGGACATCCACATGCAGAAGAATGAAACTGGACCACTCTCTTGCACCATACACAAAGATAAACTCAAAATGGATGAAAGATCTAAATGTGAGACAAGATTCCATCAAAATCCCAGAGGAGAACTCAGGCAACACCCTTTTTGAACTTGGCCACAGTAACCGGAGAAGGACAAACAGTGTATGTTCTCATTCATTTGGGGAATATGAATAATAGTGAAAGGGAATATAAGGGAAGGGAGAAGAAATGTGTGGGAAATATCAGAAAGGGAGACAGAACATAAAGACTCCTAACTCTGGGAAATGAACTAGGGGTGGTGGAGGGGGAGGAGGGTGGGGGGTGGGGGTGAATGGGTGACGGGCACTGAGGGGTACACTTGACGGGATGAGCACTGGGTGTTATTCTGTATGTTGGTAAATTGAACACCAATAAAAATTAATTTATAAAATTAAAAAAAAAGTATTTGGGGTACTTTAGCTACATTTATCCATCCACTTCCCAATGTAAATTATTGTTCTCTTATATTTTTATTATCTTTTTTTAAACCAGAAGGACATTACTGTTTTACATAGTCAATGTTCTTTTACATTTTCCCCCATAATTCCTATATTGTTTTCTATTCCTTTGTCTCTCTTTGATAGATTCTGGGTAATTTATTTTGATCCGTTGTCTTTCAGTCACAGAGTCACCATACAGGTAATGCATTGTTTTGTTTTGCTTTGTTTTTCCCTCACTTGCTTATGTTTGGGGGTTTATCTGTATTAGTTTGCTGGGAGTGTCATAACAAACTACCACAGACTTGATGCCCTAAGCAACAGAAATTTGTTTTCTCACAGTTCTGGAGTCTATTAGCCCAAGATCAAGATGTCAACCTGTCTTTTCCTGAGGCCTCCCCTCCTTGTCTTGCAGATGGCCACCATCTCACTATATCCTCACATGGCTTTTCCTCCATGCCAGCACATCCCTAGTTTGTCACAGTAAATTGGAATTTCCTCTTCTTATGAGGACACCAGTCAGTTTGGATTAGATGCCACCCTTGTTCTAATTTAATCACCTCTTTAAAGGCCACATCTCCATATATTGTGACATTCTGAGGTACTGGGGGTGAGGGTTTCAACATAAAAATTTTCAGCCCATAAAATTGTCTCATCTAGTTTTGCTTATGTGTTGTTAACAGGGTTTTGGTTTTGCTGTCTGATTGCTCTATTTTATGATTCAAAATTTGTGTTGCTACTGCCACTACTTTTCTAGAATCTTTGTTAACCAGCATTAGAGGTAAAATTTACATCCAATAAAATTCACAAATTTCAAGTGTATGATTTAATGAGTTTTGATAGATGTATACAGTCATGTAATTGTTACCACAATCATGATATAGAACTTTTCCAACACTTCCAGTAGTTCCTTCATGCCATTTTGTAGTCAATCTTCTCTGTCAGTCCTTGGTAGCCACTGACCTACTTTCTGTCCACAATAGTTTCACCTTTACTAGAATTTCATATAGAAAGAATTATATAGTATGTAATCTTTTATGTAAATCTTCTTACATATTACATAATTACATAATTCTTTGTGTATTAAAAGCTTATTCTTTTTTTCCTAATATTGCATTGTATGGATATACTCTAATTTGTTTAATCTGTTCACCAGTTAGACATTGGTGGTTTCTAGTTTTTTGGGCAGTGTGAATAAAGCTACTATGCACATTCAACTACAAAAAAAAAAAAAAAAGAGCCCACTGGGGTTGAGACTGTACATGGATGCCTGCAATGCCTTCTTGACTTTCTCCCTCCCCTTGGCTTGGAAATATATAAGAGTGGGCTCCCATTCAAAGCCAGAAAGCACGGGCCCCCAAGAAACAGTGATGGCTAGTACTGTATACTTATTTTGTATATTCTTTTGCCTCAATCATGCCAGGATCAGGTTATCATTCAACTAGACTCCGTGCCTATAACCCAAAGCCCTACCAGAATTACTCAAACCAGCCAATCCTAAGCTGTTTACCCTGTCTTGTCTTTCCGGAGGAAACCCCACTGAAGAAAATCCCAATAAACCCCTGTGTGGCATGCCCTCCATGTCTAGGAGCTGCAAGTCTAATAAAGAAATTGTTAAACTAAGGTAAAATTGGTAGATAACGTTTTATGTCTCCAGTGTAAAACATTACAATTCTACATCCGTACGCCTACAAAATGATCACCACCCAAAGTCTGGTTACCATCTATCACCACACATTCGACAGCCTTCACCCACACCAACCTGCTCTGGTAAACATGGATCTGTTTTCATCTGGAAGTTTGCTTTTGTTTTGTTTTAGATTCCAAGAGCTAAGTCACGTGGTATCTGTCTTTCTCCACTTGACTCATTTCACTTGGCATAATATTTTTAAGGTCCATCCAGGTGGTTGCAAATGGCAGGACTTCATTCCTTTTTGTGATCAAGTAGTATTCCTCTGTGTGAGTATGTGTGTGTGTAAATGTCACATCTTCTTTATCCACCTACTGATGGGCACTTGGCTTATTCCATATCTTGGTTTTGTAAATAATGCTGCAATTGGGGCACCTGGGTGGCACAGTTG